CTTGATTCCGTAGGCAGTGGGGAGCCATTGAAAGTTCTGGGCTTGATTTTATGGCTATCATAGCTCCTTTGCCTGGGCTGCAATTGACCCTTCATGGTGGGGCACAGTGGACCCTGCAGCTACCTTGCCTGGTGTGGCACTGCCAGGCCGGTGATGACAATTTAATGTTCTCATTTTTAGATGATAATTTCATAGGGCACAGAGCTGTCAGCTCCCACCCTGGAGGCCCTCTTGGCTCATCTTTATTCAAGGCTGTGCTTTGTGAGCATTCTGCTTTCCTTTAGGGGCTCCTCTGGAGCCTAGCTGCATGAGCCAGTACATCCCACTGCACACATATTTCAGAGCCCACTGCCCCATTCCTGCTGGACATTGTCTATCCTCCAGCCTGGGCTCAGGAGATTAGAGCTATTTGGCATTCCAGTCTCTCTCATCTGTTTCTCATGAGCAGGAGGCCTGGGGAGGAAAGATTTCCAAGGAGGTGGGTTTATGGAACCCATAGAAAAGGGAAGTCACCAGGGAAACAGGTGAGGTGTGGGGAAGCAGCAGGAATGTAATCACAGGCCCTCTGCTCTGGGCAGCCTTCAGGAACCACTGAGCAGGAGGGAACAGATCTCTCATGAAGCAGGAAGGATTTAGGTCAGACGTGGGCGAATTTCTTGGCTGCTAAATAATCGCCTGTAGAGGTTGTGAGAGGTCTTAGGCTCTTGCCCAAGACTGGGGAGTAGACTGAATAGATCCTGAAAAGTATTTTAGTCTCCAAATATTTATGGAATTATCAAATTATGTCAAGGACTGGTTAGTCCAATCTCCCCGTCGTCCACATGGGGAAACTGAGCCTATGAAAAGGGAAGGGACTTGGACAATAGGGGATTGGGGCAGACTGGTCCTGAGCACATTGTGAAGGGGCTTTGGCTCCCCCCACAGAGGAGGCTCTGGGGACAGAGCCAGAATGCAAAAGCTGGTCCTTGTCCTTGGCTCTGTCTTTGCTGCCCTGGAGGGTCTGACGGGCCCTCCTAGGCTGAATGACTTCCCAGACCAGCAGCTGCCTATGGAATGGCCTTGTTACCCAATTCAGTTACACCCAGCCCCTGCCTAGCCAAGCAGCCTGGCTCATCCCACAGGCCTTTGCTACCCTTTGACTCAGTGTTCCCCACCCTGGCCCAGGCTCTAAGCAGCCTGAATCCCTAAGTGCAAGACCCCATGGTCAGCATGGAAGAGTGTCCATGGCTCCAGGCCATGAGTAGAATAGAGGACAATTAGATCTGAAGAAATGGTTAGGCCTGGAGAGGGCCCAGGCCTGCCCAGGGTCACACAGAATGTCTGTGACAGAATAGAGTAGAATCCAGGCTCTTGTCTGCCTTGTGGGAGCAGAAGGCCGGAAGCTGATGGTGACCAGGGCCTCCCTGGGTAGCCTGAGCAAGACCATCCTTCAGGTGGTTAGCCCCACCCCTGGGGGTCTATCCCAGGAGACCATATAGACTGGCCATGGGTCAGAGGGTGCACACTATTTAACAGTGACAAGCAATGAACTAAATAGATCTTAAAAGTTTACATTGACTGAAAACTCAAGAATCAGAATGATATTATAAGACAATATCAATTATATACTTCAAAATGCATAAGCACTGCAGATTTTATAGAGACACAAATGGTCAAGGGCCTATCTAAGGGTCAGGGGTGAGGATGAAGGTTAAAAAATTTTATTACAAGAGAGGAGCCTTGCATCGGCCAGTGATAATGGTTAATTTGCTCTGAAATGGGAATTATGATTAATTCCATTTTCTGCATTCATAAAAACGAGAGTCTCCAGGAAAAGTTCTCATTGGAACCCACTTAATATAGTGTCCAGTGCCACATCCAAGGGCTGGATTACTCCATACATTCTGAATAAGAGATCCCAGCCCCTCTTCAAATCCATAGCTTGACTGTGGTGATATACACTTGTTAAAACTTGTCAGGCTGTACACCTAAAATCTGTACATTTGAATGTGTGTAGATTAAATTTCAAAAGTGTTCATTTTTATTAAAAAAAGAATGGCCCTAGCTGATTTGGCTCAGTGGTTAGGCCTGCAGACTGAAGTGTCTCGGGTTTGGTTCTGGCCAAGGGCACTTACCTCCTCAGTTGCAGGCTCAGTCTGGGTGCATTTGGGAGGCAACCAATCGATGTGTCTCTCTCACATTGATGTTTCTCTCTCCTCTCTCTCTCCTCTCTCTCTCTCTCTCCCCCCCACCCCCCACACACTCTCTCTGAAAAAAATATCCTCGGGTAAGGATTTAAAAAAAATTTTTTTTAAAAGAATGACAAGAGGAGTTCTGGGAGGGGTTCAGGACCTGGGATCTCCTGGAGCTGCCCCAACTCCCTGTGTGACTATGGTAAATTCATTGCCTTTTTAGAGCCTCAGTTCCCTCTAGCACCTCCATGTGCCCTAGTGTCCTGTGGGGTACAGGGTGAGGAACATGCTTGTGGATGATGGAACAGTAAAGTATAGTGGGCCCTCCATATCCAGAGATGGGGCTGGCAGATAAAGAGGGCTGACTAAGGGACTTGAGCATCTGTAGATTTTGGTATCCTTGTGGGGTGGTCCTGGAACCAATCCTCCTTGGATACTGAGGGATGACTATATTACTCTGCTAATCATTAAAGAAGCTTACCTGACAGAGTCCCTTGGGATTGGCAGTCCGTCAACCCCTGCAACATGGGGATGGGAGATGGGGGGCCTTTCTCTGCCAATGGAAGTGAGGGCACCTGCCTGGACCTGAGATTTCTCAACAATAAGAGGAAGAAGACCACCTGTGGCCAGGGTCAGGGCTCATTGTAACCAGCAGCTCAGAGGTGTCTGCACACATGTAGTACTCCACAACCACCACCACCACCCACCACCCCGCCATGGCTCTGGGGTTATTTAAAAAACTGACCACACTCAGTTACAATAAAAAAGGATTGATGATATCAAAGCAACTCCTTTTAAGGTGTTTTTTTTCTCTTAAGTACCACATTTTAGTCTATAATCTGGGGACAAACTGTAATGAGTCTGGGGTTCAGAGCTGTTGATAGGTGTTAGACCTCAGTGTGTGGCTAGGATTAGGGCTTAGTATAGGACCAGGGTCACAGATCAGTGAGAGGTCTGGAGTGGCATTAACCCTCGCTGGCCCTGAATACCCCTGGCCTCTTACCCAGCAGGCTCTTCTACTTCCCCAGACTGCACAGTTAGCTCATGAACTGGCCTAGAGAGGAAGGGTCAGGCCAGAAAAGCTTTGTGGAGCCATCTGTTCAGTGTTTATTAAAACCAGGCCTGGGATGGGGGTGGCAGCTTCTAGGGCCAAATGCTGGGTCTCATGAGGCTTCAAGCCCAACTGACCCACCCTCACATGTTGCTGAAGGACGGGGGATGATTCCTGTCTTCCTCACCTCTCCCCCAGAAGCTTTTAGGAACCAGTGGGTGAGAACCAGCTGGACACCAAGGTGGCCTCTTGCTTCGAGGGCATGAGGATCCCTGGAAAATGACTGCAGGCATTCCTGGGGGCTTGAGTAATGGGACCTAGGCTGGCCAAGATGGCCCCACCAGCCAGGAGCCGCTTCATCCTCACCCACCCTTGTGCTCCAAGCTTCCTCTTCATTCCAAGGCCGTGAGGTCACACTGGCTGCCTGGACCCAGTCCCCACATAAGGCTGGGGCCCCAGGGTGAGCCGAGGTACAGTCTGGAAGCCCAAGGGATGTGTGCAAGGGATGGTATGCAGGCAGACACCTCTGTGAACGGCTTAGAAGCCAGAGTCCCCCTCCTCTGCCTCATCTTCTGGACCTAAAAGCTGACAAGAGGGTTTTGGCAGCCAGAAGGGGGAGCTGGAAGCCTGTACACATGACAGAAGTCCCCCTGCCTTGCTTATCCCCCGAGAATAGACGGCTTAAAAGAAGCTAAGAGGAACTTATGGCCTTGTTTCATCTTTATCTGTCAGAATCCCTGAAGCCTGAGAGGGGAGGGGATATGGAGGACCCAGCCTTGCTCCCCTTTAAGTCAGTGGCCCAGCAGGAGCCCATGCAGAGGGGTCTGGACACCTGAACTCGGTTTCTGCTAATTCCTGAAAGCTTCAATGGGAATAACTTATGTCTGAGGAGAGGGGAGAGGAGGAAGGAAGGTAGGATGGACTTGGCTCTAGCATATCCTGGGAACAAGTGATCACAGGGGCTGGAGCAGACTCCATACTTCCCCTGGGCCCTGCAGGGGAAGGAGCCAGGTGCCCTCAGGTTGGAAGCCAGAAGCTGCAGACAGGGGAGGGCGTGGTTCTGTCTGGGGGCAGATGACAGGAAGAAAGGAATAGGGCTAGGTGCCCAGGCTGAGAATCCTGCCTAGTCAGCAGCCTGCTCTGGGGACGTGTTTTCCTTCTAGCCCATCCCTTCCTGCCCACCCCCACTTCTGCCTGCCAACATTCACCTGGCTCTTCCCACGAGCCTGCTGGGACCCAATTAGGGGCAGAAGCCCAGCACTGTCTTGGTGGTTTATGAGAAATGCTGGGTGAGGGGTGCAGAGGGTATCTGGAGGCTAACGCAGAGGCCTGGGGAATAGGACATGGAGGAAAGCGTCTCTGTCGAGAAATTACTTGGTTCATTCAGTGTTGCCTCCAGGCCCTTGTCCATGCTGTTCCCCCTATCAAGAATACCCTTCCCTCTTTGGCTTTCCACATTCTGCCCTGTCTCCCAGCTCTTACTCATGTTCCAGCTCTGCCAGGAGGTCTCAGCACTCCCACAGCACGGAGTTTGAGAGGTGAACTCCTGCTCCCTGACCTCCCTGACCCCACACCTGAACCTAGGGAGAGGGGATCACATCCCACACCTGGCTCCAGCTGGGAAGCTTCCTGAAGGAGATGACAGCCTGTGTAGAGGAAGGAGAATGGCAAAGGGTGTTTGGGGCTGGGGAGGTCTCTGGGTATTAACCATAGCCAACCTGACTCTCCTCAATGTCACACTTCCTCCCTCCTCCCTTTCTCCCACTGCCCATTCCCAGGTCTCCCTGACTTAGTCCCAGACCCCAACTATGTGCAAGCATCCACCTATGTCCAGAGAGCTCACCTGTACTCCCTGCGCTGTGCAGCAGAGGAGAAGTGCCTGGCCAGGTAAGGAGCTGAGGATGAAGCTTGGCGCATTGGGACAGTCTCTAGGAGTCACTCAGAACCTACTGGCATGCCAGCCAGGCGGCCAGGATGCCTGCAAGCCATTCGACCCTGGCCAAGTGTTTGAGCCTCTCAGGTCCTGGCCTTCCTCATCTATGAGCCTTGCCTGCCCCGAGGAAGTTGGGAGGGAAAGGGAGCAAGCTGTTATCCAACATTTGTCACTACACAAAAAAGCTGACTTTTACTGTGGCTTTTAATCTTCACATCAGCCCTGAAGGTAGGTGGTGCCAGCAGGGCAGGAAACAGAGGTGCAGTGACAGGAACTAAAACTTTTCCTCTCCGAGCTGCCTGTGAGAAGGTTCTTTGCCCAGCTGGCGTGGTTCAGTGGTTGAGCATCAACCTAGGATCCAGGTTTGATTCCTGGTCAGGGCACATGCCCGGGTTGAGGGCTTCATCCCCAGTCAGGGGCATGCAGGAAGCAGCCGATCAATGACTCTCTCATCATTGATGTTTCTATCTCTCTCTCCTCCCTCCCTCTCTCTGAAGTCAATAAAGACATATTTTTTAAAAAGAAGAAAAAAAAAGGTTCCTTGTGGAGGGCCCAGGTTCCCAGTGGAGGGCCCAGGTTCCCAGTGTTCCTACGAGGACCACAGAGTACAGGTGTGGCTGTGGCTGGCCCAGGCTGTCTGCCTGGATCACAGCAGGGACAGTGGGCATGGGTGACAAAGAGGCCTCAGTTATGTGTGGCACCAGAGAGGGAAAAGAGACTATTTACATGACCCCAAAGGTGAGTACAGCCAACTCTCCATTATTCCTGGGCGATTCTGCCTCCTGCAGAGCTGGCTTCTAACTTTATTAACAGTGAATATCCTGTTCAAATGTGTATGCTTTGGGAACATCTCCCTGTGCTAAAGAATTAGTTAAATATTACATTGACCTACTTCTTTTGTTGACATTTCTCTATGCTGGAAACACCTGGTTTTCTTAATTACTTGCTTTTTTTGACATTTGAACTCTTTATTTATTTTTATTTTTTTAGTATCTGGAAAGCCCTTTGGAATATAAATATTTTCTCACTTAAGGAATTTCTAGTCCACTGCCACTCAGAGGAGCTGACCACAACTGTTATCTCTCTGTAACAAGATAAGGAGCTTGCACCAAGATGTAGCTCAACTCACTGCTTCCTTCATCAAGAAAATCTGGCTTTAAAAAATGAAGTGTCACACTCAATAGTGTGATTAGTAATGCAGTTGATTTACATGCTGATGCAAGTTCCTTATCTCATTATAGACTGGCAACAAAAAGTGTGTGAACTGGCAACAGTCCTGGGACCACACCTTGAGTCCGCTCAGTTGTTCATGGAAAAAGAACACAGTGATAATGCTCCTGCTGATTCCTCCAACAGTAAGGAACTCGCAGCCTCCATGGCAATCCATTAAGGCTGAGTTTTGAAGAGTTTGAGTCAAAACCCAACTATCTCTCCATCTTCATGGAGCATTCCTTGTGTCCAGACCTGAGCTCCTGGATGGGCTGAGGAGGAGACAACCAGGCACTGTCCTGAGGGGATGTCCTGGTCCTGTCAGAGGGACCAAGTAACTGAGAGTGGGAGGAGAGCTAGCATGAACAATTTGCAGGCTAGAGCTAACTTTGTGAGTTCAGAGAAGGAGAGGTCGGCAAGGGTTGAGGCATCAGAGGAGGCTGGATGCAGAGTACAGACCTAGAAAACCCAGCAAAACTGAAGCGCTGGAGCACAAGGGCCCTTAGGAATCATCGGAGGTGTTGGTTGCAGGCTGGTGCCAAAGCACAAATGGCCAGCAGGACCTAGACAAGGGAAGGGACTTATTCCAAGTCTCATCATGAGTTTGTGGCCAAGCTGGGCCTAGAATCTTGATGGTTTCCCACAGAAGGGCAGCATTAAACTCACGGGGAAGGAGGACATTTGTTCCAACCTAGACACAGATGGATTCCAAGTCTCTTCCAGACAAGGCCAAGGGTCTTATGTCCTGGCAGAGAGGAGTCTGCAGTGCCTATTGTCCAGACATCTTCTCAGAGCAAGCTAATTCCCACAAATGGCCACCTTCTGCCTCTGGCTTTAGGACCCAGACCTTAATGAGTTTCAGGGACGTGCCCCTGAGGCCAGCCAGGACAGCCCATCTCAGTTGGGAATTGGGGGTCAGTAAGTGAATTGGGAACAGGCAGTCTGCACCAGACCCATACCTCCTGAACAGAAAAGGGCAGGACGCTGGCCCTGAAGCCAGGTAATCAGGTAGAGGTGACCTAGTGACATGGACCCAGCTTGGGGAGTATGTGGAATCACTGTTAGAGCTCACAAGCAGTCAAGATTTCTTTAAGTAGAGCAATCAGGTCAGACTTCCTTAAGGAGGGGACCTGAGTTGGCATAGGAGGCTATGAGTTCTGGGTCAAGCAATCAGCATGGACAAAAGTATCGATTAGCAAAAGAATTAAGTCTGTTTGAGAAACAGAATTTGAAGCCGGAACCCAGAGAGTGTGGGGAGTGGAAGACAGGACCAGGAAAGTGACGAGGCTTTGACACTGAAAAGCCTGAACCTGTTTCTTAGGCCCACACCTGAGACATGACATACTTTAGTCACCAATTAGGGCTTTGTCTGGAGGAGGGAAGACTCAGCAGAATCTCCTGGATAGGCACATATTTATTGTGTGTGTTTTTAAAATATGTTTTTATTGATTTCAGAGAGAGGAAGGGAGAGGGAGAGAAACATCGATTGGCTGGCTCTTGCACGCCCCCTACTGGGGATGGAGCCTGCATGTGCCCTGACCAGGAATCAAACCGGTGACCCACTGGTGCATGGGATGATGCTCAACCAACTGAGCCACACTGGCAGAGCAAGATAGGTCCATTTTTAAAAAAGATCTCTAAAGATTTTTATATGACCCCACCCCCAGCGGTTTTCCCCAGCTAAGAGTCTCCTGCAGGCACCAGGAACCCTCAGAGGCTCACTGTCAGACGCGATGCTGCCAGCCTTATGGAGGGAGGGGGAGAGGCCTGAGCCTTCACCGAAGCACAGGGGTCAGATGTCAGGGTCTTCAGGGACAAGTTGGCCCATTCTGGGTTTCGATATCATGGTTCCCAGTCCCACTCCGGTCTTCCCACCTGTCCCTGCAGCACAGCCTATGCCCCGGAGGCCACCGACTATGACGTGCGGGTGTTGCTGCGCTTCCCCCAGCGGGTGAAGAACCAAGGCACCGCCGACTTCCTCCCAAACCGTCCTCGGCACACCTGGGAGTGGCACAGCTGCCACCAGTGAGTGGAGCCAGTGGCCTCTCCCACCCTTCCTCTGGGCTGGAGGACTTGTGCCCCAGCTCCCCTCCCCCATTAGTGCTCCTGGTGGGGGCAGGTGCTGGTGGGAGGGCCTTATGAGGTGTTTTCTGCCAAGGATCCATCACTGGGGCAAGAGTTTCTCAGAGGAGCCTTAGTAAAAGCAGGGCTGGGAGAGGGGACATGGAAGAATCAATCTTTAAGGGATGGAAATGTCTAGAATAAAGGGCACTGCCCAAGGGAGGCCAGTGCAAGTAGTTGCCCAAAAGGAAGTGAGGAGTCCTGAGGGGGTGCTCTCCTCGGGTGAACTGGCTGGTTGGGGACAGGAAAAATGCTGCCCTGTGGGACACAGGAGACCCAGGAGCCCAGACTGGTCAGGAGGCTGTGTCACAGCAGGGTCACAGGGGCCCATATCAGAAGGGGGATGGCATGGCATGGCATGGGATGGGATGGGATGGGATGGGATGGGATGGGATGGGATGGGATGGGATC